CCATTAAACTTTATGTCATTTGTCAAGCTGCCTTCTGCAGCTCCAAGAACAGTTAAATCACATTTACATCATTCTGTGCTAAAAGGCATGCATTACCGACTTCCTGTGATCAGCAGGAAGAAAATGAAAAGCAAGTTAAGCAAGTTCTGTGAAACAATGACTAACCCTAAACTGCTATAATGCTTCAAATTATCTTTAAAAAGTGACTACTGCCATAAAATTCTCAATGGCTACCCTAAAGCAGGCATTTTTTTTGGTTTACTATGTAGAGTATTGAAATGGAAGAATCCATCTTAAAATTTGTTAAAATTTAAGTCTCTTTTACACACTGAATTCCAATTCACAAAAAATTTAGAAGATTCAATAGTTTACCCTCCAGTTTCTTAATATAAAATATCACAACCCAAAATACCCCATTACTGTGTAGATAACACGCCCAGAACATTTATCGCCAAGTAAAACCAGAGGAGAGCTCATTTTCTTATTTCAGAATTTAATGTAGTAAGAAGCAAAGTAGATTTCAGAGCTCCAGAAACCAGTGCAAATCTGAGGCAGGAAAACCACCAAGTTGAACACCATGTGGATTTTCAGACTGGGTCTGGAATAAGAACTCCCAATATTCCTTTTAGACAGAAGCGGGTTCGCCTAGCGTGCAGTGTAACAGGGCAGCAGAGAAGGTACAGCTCGCTGGAGTTTTTTAAAATCCTGAACATTAATTTAGAGATGGAGAGTGTTCTCCATTCAAGACACTTTGTTTTATGGGGAAAACCACAAAATGAAAAATTTCTCATGCATATCTGATCTATTGTACAGGAGTCCTACTTGACAAGTTAATTTTCTTCAGAATGAGCTCTGGTAATACAAAATAAATACATATTCAGATTTTATCTTTATTCTTGTAAGCTCAGAGTCTATTCCAACAGCGTAGTTCAGCAGTGCTATAAGGGATATATTTTTGTGATATTTACATATGTCTCACTATGTAGGCTTTAGCTGGTAAACAGTGTCACTTCACAAGTGAAGCGTTAGTAAACATAATAAGTCATGTTCTAAGAAATACTCTATTGATTGATAAGCAGTTATAACAGCCTTGTTAATTGTAATTCATTCTTCCTCAAATTCTGTGACATGCATCACAGAGCTGCATATCAATTAAATTAGTTAGAAATATATCCTGAAAGGGGCAGTGTTTCTTGACAGTAATATTTTACTGCAACATAGCTTTATGCATCATTTTATATCCTGGGCATACTGCCAATATTGCATTACCTAAATATCCATTTTATATAGTAACTCTGCATCCTCACAGCAACTTATGAAATCAGTCTAATTGTTTAATTTTAGGTTCCAAATCAACATTCCTTCCAAAGCATTAATCTAGTGGTGAATCTGTGCAATTACCAATTTTGTAAAACTTGTTATGTCTGTAATTTAAACTAATGTTAAGTGCTTTTTATTTTATTTTATTTTTTTTTTGAAAGTGTGTATTTATGTAAGGGCTTAGAAAATAAAGCAATGGCAAAGTGACACTGTGTATCCTGACTTCTCCTTCCATCTTGTTTGCTTACAAGACACTATCACCTTCCTTTTACTAAGGATGATTAAGATACTATTTAACATTATCATTTCCATTTCCTAAAGCATTTCTCCAGGTTGAATTTTTGATCTATATTCAGAAGTTGTTCTGGGCATGTGTCAAGAGTAGAGGGATTCATGGAAATTTTATTATAACAGTTTTGCAGTTTGACTTCCATAAAAAAACCCCAAACAAATCAAAATAACTAAACCAGTTTTGTCATCTGATAGTACTGCCTCTGCACAGCTGAAAAAACCCAAAACACCATCTAGAAGAGCAAGGAAGAGATAGGCTGACCTCAGACAAATTATGTGTGTGTATATATATGTATATATATATAGATATTTATTTTTTTTTAATACAAAAGTAGCAAAAACAGTTTTATGGTTATTTGGTTAGATAAAGTTTAGAAGTATTTTCTTTCAATTAACCTTAGTCTTGTTGTAGAATGAATTCTCAATGGAATAAAATCTCATTATCCAAATAGGTAAATATATAAAAGTGCTTATGAAAATCGTGGTAACAACTTTAGATATTAAGGAAATGAGATAATCTACTGAAAAAAACACAAATTTCTATCTAGGAATGCAACTATCTGTCATTTTTCTTTTCTTTTTGAGATCAAAAAGCCATTATATGTTCTTTGATATTTAACATCTTCATTCTGGGTAGCTATCTTTTAGGATAGATATGCCAAGCAATTTTTTGCTTCGCTTTTCAGAATTCTTTCAGTATTCAAAGTGGAAAGATGTTGTAAATACGAGTGATTCTGTACTGGCAAGAACCCACAAAACCTGTGTCAGCAACTCCCATATATTTGTAGACTCAGTTCCTCTTGTATATTTATAAGACAGTTGACTAAGTGCCTGAGATATTCCAATTCCTATGACTATCTCCCGAAGGACTGCAAAGGTCTGTGTCTAATCTTGTTCAGAAAATTTATGGTGAAAAAAGAATTTATACCACTCTGTCAGTCTGTGAATAATCATTTTACCTGTGCCCTCCTCTGTAATTACTGTATATTATAATAGAGTTTGTGAAACAGGTACTGCACCGACTTTTTGCGTAGACCAGCCGCTACATGTTATGTTATTTCCTCCCATGATACCACCTTTTTTCCAGTTTCCTGCATTTCCTTCAGACCCTGTACAGTTGACACATTATATCTTTAGGTTCTTCTTTCATATTCATTGTAGTATCATACAATATCATATTACTAATTTATCATATCCATTTCAAAGAGTTGCATTTCTTTTAATACACAATGAAAGCCACTGAATGAACTGCTCCCAGTCACTATGACTTACAAACAAAAAACAGTTGACAAAAATAATTTAAAACTGCGTATTACAATATTGCAGACATTTAAGATAAAATAACAGTTCTGTAATTGTTTTTCTGTATAGAGCGATTTGCAAACTTCTATACAGAACACAAAGCTCATATGACGCTATGGAAATCATGAAGATAATATATCTTTGGTTCTGAAACCATGATGAATACGTGGCATATAAATCTTCAAGAGAGACATAATTTTTATTTCTGAAAGAGTATCCACTTCAAGACTGTCAACTTCTGACAACTTTGGTGAGATTTGTATGTTTCCCAACATCTGCCTCCTTATACTTTCCCCTGAAGGTATGAATATTGCCTTTGCTAGACTAGAAGGGCAATAGATCCAATTAAATTTGGTGATTTCTTAACAAACTCTAGGGGGTAAATTTTGGTTTAACTGAATTAAACAACAACTTTTATTCAATTTTGCCAGGGAATTTATTTTGCTTTGGAACTTTAAACAGAGGTTGTGTTGATGATTAAAAATAAATTGTGTGACAACAGGCCTGACTCTGGGAATATAACCAACAACTACCATTATTTGAAGGGTACAACTAGCATCTTACCCCGTATGACCCATTACCCTTTCTTCAGAAGTCAGGTGATTCAACAGACAATCATCACTCTTCCAAAAATTAATTAAAATCACTTGATTAATCTACCAAGTTATGAAATGTTGTTCAGCTTTTTGCAGACTTGCATAGCAATTTTCTCATTTATCCCAGTAAACTAGCTACTGCTTTCCTCTCTGGATTTTAAAAACTTTTCTTTGACTTTGTGATCCTGATAACCTCTGCAAGACGTTATGCACAGAATAAACATCTCTTGCTGAATAATCACGTGACTCGATTTATAAACTACGTGACTTTCTCTGAAATTGGAGAAAAACACCTTTCACCTTTTCCAAAAAGAGTAACTTCAAATGGCATAGGAAAGGGAAACTTAAATTTCCTGAAGACAGAAGAAAAGTATCTGATCTTCAGACTATCAAATGCTAACAGCTTGCAGCAACAAAGATCAGTCACTGGCCATATTTCACCCCTGAGGTGAACCTTCTCAGATGATGCAAATAAAGTCATCTCTCAAGATTTTGCTCAGAGAGAGAAACACTAAGTAGAAGTCCCAAATGTAAAAAAGTCCAAAACAACTTGCTACAAATCCTGGTTTTTCTCTTACATCTTTCTAGGAGGAAATTAATTATGATCAGAAAATAAGTACACCTTCAAAATTTTCTGTACCGAGTGTGAGGAGGAAATAGACATTTTCTCAGTAAAATCTGCCCTGCAGATACTAAGTTTTGAGCACAAAATACTTTGAAGCTACTACTCTGTGTCGTGAGAATGGAGCAGTCTGTTTCCAAATGGTAGGACCATGAGTAAAATTTAAGAATGCCTCTATAAAAGGCAATATACACATACAAAGCATGAACAGTGGGGACTGATCTCTGAATAGGCTACTGATTTTTCAGGACATCCAAATCAGTACAGTAAAACTCTGCACTAGCCAACAGTCATGAGAATCTAGTGCTTTTTCATGGTGGCTACAAGAACTGGCTGGTCATTCAACCAATGATTTATATCATCTCCATAGTATTTAGTCCAAAGTATTTAGTCTATATTCAGTATGAACAAATTCACATTACTAGGCTGTGGTCATTCCATTATGGTAATTCCATTAAGCTTGTCTGTTTTTACAAGACATAGTGATTGAACTGGAAATATAAAAGCATGTAAACTAATATATAATTAATTATTATCAGAGTCTGAGCATGGGATGCTTATGAACCTTTGAAAAAATAATAGAGTCAAATTAAACTAAACTGAGTGAGACTGAGTAATTAAGAGCACTGTTTTAGTTAAAGCATCAGATATCAAATTGTCCTTGCCTTGCATTTTTCCATTCTGTCTAGACTGTTCTTACATGAACACTATCGTGATACTGACATTAAGCAATTTTCTTGGACTGTAAAATGCAACATTAAAACATCAAGTAGAAGGATATGCCTTTATACTTGTATCAACCCTAAAAGGAAAACGGTTTAGTGTTTTTCATGTACTTCATGTAATAAGGCTTTTTGTTATGTACTTACGTGATAAAGTGGAACTGTATTGTTTTCTGCTAGTGAAAAATTCAAGATATCTTGCTGTCCAGGCTCAAGCCTAACATTAATAGTAGATGTCAATACAGATGGACTGATAGGATAGTTTGGACTGCTTGTGGTTTTGCCCTTTTTTCTTGACCTATGACCTGTGTCCCTTTTGTTGTCTTTTTGTGTCAAAGGCTCTTCTTGGATAACCAGTATCTTGTCATCACTCAGATAGCGCAGGAGTGAATTCTCAGAGTCAGTTGTTGGAGGGGAAAAAAAAGAAAAAAGAAACATTAGTAAGAGAAAGCAGAGAACTATTTTGGTGGCATCTATATTGTCAAATTTGTTAATTCCCCGCTTCATCTGAGGCCATTTCCTCTGCAAACAAACTTATCTGTACCAAGGTTCCAGTCAAGAGCAAACTAAGTAGTTGGCACAAAACCTAGGCACAGAAAAGATGGTGATGCATACCCAGGTCCTTGTATGATAGATAGTATGAAGCTAGTCCACATCATACGGCTCGTGTTACAAATTAAATATAATTAAAGCCAAAAGGTTTCAGTGAAATGTCAAACACCATCACTTGGTGCTATTGAGCTGGAGAGCCATGTGAATGTCAAGGGAACTGTGAGGGCTTGCAGTGGGCTCAGTACCACATGTACTGACACCCGCTGCCATTGGAGGTGAAAGTGAGTATATATAGAATATCTGTAAGTTGTATCAAGCAGGGAGCACCTCTGGGACCATTCCATACACAAGGACTGTAATTTCAAGGAATGCGATAAAGCGGAATAATGGTCTTAAGGAGATGTGCAGTATACTTGGGCACAATTTGAAAATGGGACCTGGCCAGGCAACAAGTCTGAGGAAAGGAATCTGTAACAGTGAAATACAAACTAAACATAAATCAACAGATTTGGAACAAATCAGAAAAGGCTTGTGCCTTAAATGACATTTATTTTCTCTTGGAATGGAAGTTTACTGGAAAAGGTGGTTTAAAATCCTGTATTAATTTTCAAGAGTATCAATTCAGTTTTGTCACATGATAAGCAGTCAAGTTGAACTCCTCTCAGCTACCCACATTGTGCCTAAAAGATTTGGAAAAAAATAGTATTTTTTAAAGAATCTTTAACAATTGGCATAAAAATGATCATATTTATATATTTGAAGAATATTCTTTTGAATCATATAATTGCTTTTTAGCAGAGGAAAAACGGAAAAAGGGAACTTTGTTATCAACTGTGCTTCTTCCAAATACTAAATTCATAATACCCACTGGCATCAATAGAAATTTGTATGATTGGGACTGAACACTGACAGTACAATTGCTGATTCTGGTTTCAAATACTCATTCATACTAATCAAAATGTGTCTCAAAGCACATTACCTTACATCTGTGACATCATTTATTGCTTTCTAGAACCGTAAAGATTAAGAACTGATTGCTATTAACATGCACCTGAATCTTACAAGTCTTTTTTTTTCCCTTGATGTTTATTTTCTTTTATACTGGAATTAAATAGAGTCAACCCCTCCTACTAACACAAATTTTTTAATTTCCAAAAATAGAAACACAAAAACCCAGTTACTAAACAAGGTCTTTTATATTGTCCGTGTCATTCAAGAAAAATAGATCTGGTTCCTCCTTCATGCTTCTTAAGCAACAAAGAAAAACAATTTTGGAGAACAGCAGAGAAAAAAAAAATACTCACCTCTGCTTCCCCTCTTGTACATGTTTTGTTCTTTTGACTCCCCTATCCAACTGTATTCAGTAGGCATAGAAACAGGCCTTAAATCCCCTGGAAACAATTCAAGATAAACCAATATAACTTTTGAAGACTAAAAATAGAAGACTCTAGAGTAAGCAATGCCTATAAATTACAGGTGTGACATAACCCTTCAGAGCAATCCTTTTTATCGGCACATATACATTATTAAAGCTGTAGCATTCAGGATCAATTAAGCATCATTTATGCAGATTTCTTCTCTTCATTATAGTGATCTGAAGGAAAATACCACTGACTTTGGTGAAAATACTTGTAAATGTAAAGCAGATTACAAATTTAATTTTCAACTCTGTTCTGTAAATACTTGCTCACTCATTAGATAAGTGTTTTGGAGTAAAGAGGGAAGCAGGTTTTAAATGGACTAATATGCTTTAGTAAAACTAGAAAGACTAGTAACACAGATGCAACATTACATATCTACCAGTTAAACGGTAAAACCTATCTGACCTGGATATCACATGGTGAGTGATGAGGGGATCTCATTTCAAGGAACGTTAATTTCAAATGCTTTAAAAAGAAAACAGGGAGTGCAGTTTAGTAACAAGAACAACAACAAAAAAGAAGATTCAGATGTTAGGGTTTTAATTAATAGGATTTTATGGCACTATGGCTGTCAGCTATTAATGTGCTGACATTCCCTACTGTGGTATCAGTAGAACATTGATAGCAGGCCATTAAAGGAGGAATACTACAAAACCAACTATAAAGCGTTAGTGCTTTGGCCTTGTCAGAGTGCATTATTATCACAAAACACAGAAACACCCCCTAGATTATGGGTTAAATTCTGTCTGACCCATAAAGCCAAATATTCCTTTTTTCCTGTATGACAGTTGACTAAATTTAGCGTGTTTTCTTAGCACTCGAGGAGGTTTTTTTTTCAAGTAGTTTGCTACTGTTCTGTTTCTACAATAATTACAGAATTTAAACGTGAAAAAGAGTTACTTTTTCATTATAAATTTCTCCAACATGATTAGAATGACAAAGTATTTTCTGTGGATTATTCGTATGCTAGTATAGTTTTTTATTTGTCATTCTTCCAAAATACAGCTTTTTAGCTACTAAAATGTTAGAGCAATTAAGAACAAAGAGGTATATAAGACAATTATGCTTCTGGATAGCAGGATTTTCTGAAAATTGAAGGGCTAACATATACCCAGAGTACTGTGATTTTCCCACATTATACTTTCGCTCACACCATAAAAGATAGCATAAAAGTTAGTTTCCAATTGTATGGAAAATATAGTTTCCCTGTCCGCCTAACAGTTGAAACCACCTTTAACTACAAATGTATTATTTAACTTCTAATCTCAAATTTGGCCTTAGAAGAACAATGTTAATTAAGAAAAAAACCCCAACAAATCAAGCAAAAAGAAGAATCAGTAATATGGAAAAGAATGAGAAACAAGTAAAAATTATAAACTAAAAAATGAAAATAAGAATGCACATAACAAATGAAGATCAACATAATAAAACTTGGTAGTATTTCTGTGAAGAGAAGAAAGGACTGAAGCCCTGAAGAGATTTGTAACACAAATGCCAGACGCCACAGCACGATCGACATTTAGGAAATTTAGGACAGGAGACACACAAGCCAAAGAAAGGAACTAGTGATTTTGCATACTGCTTACGTTACTTCCAAGTTCTTTCCCAAACAAATGTAACCTATAAACTGTTTTAACATTTCAACTTGGATATTTTTCTGAGCAGTAAAGAAATTATTGTGTACAAGTAGATCAGTATAAATTGAAAGGGAAAAAATTATTTATGATGGTTTTGCCTCTAACACATAAACAGAAGAGATATGCACTGCCACAAGAGCTGTAAATAGCACGTCAGAGTGTAACTCTTGGTAAAAAAATAATCCACTGAACTAATGTTAAATATGAGTTTAATTTTCACAAATGGTTTGAACAAGTGGACTTATTTGCCTTCTTGGATTTTGCATGTATTATCAATACTGAGGGTCTCACCTGTCTGAGTATCCTTCCACCTACCAGCTGCTACAGAGACTGGTTTCTCATAATTGCTTTAATTATGGTAAATCCATGGCAGGAATTTCTCAAATGTGATTTGTGTGAGTCCTAGCAATAATTAAAGTGTCTGCTCATCCATGAAAGACTTCAGAAGTTTTCCTTACTTTGCTCATGGCTATCTGGTTCCAGCATCAGATATGAGTTTATTGGATCTCCCATAAATCCTGTCTTTCCACTAAAAGACATATTGTCACTTTGATGGTTCAAACACACATCTTTAAGTCAACAAGTACAAAATGTTCTACTACAGTAAAACAAAATTTGGATTTGGAAGTCAGTTAACTGACAGATTAATTTAATCTGTACTTTAAAAAAATCTGGTTTAACATTTGGTTTTGAAACAAAGATATATTCCTCAGACTTTAAAATCAAATTCCTTCTAGATTTCCAAAGTTACAGAAAATCAGAACTGTCCATCATAAACACAAGAATAATCATGCATATTACTGGGATCAGGCACAGGGCCCGACATTTTAAGTCATCATATGGCATGAATTTATCAAAGCAAGCCAAATACATCCATCTGTCTCCAATTTTAATCACAGTTAAGATTTATCTATCATTCTAATTTTATAATAAAATGATGTCACTTATCAGGGAGATAAAGACTGAATATTACTGGTCTTAAGATGGAACCCTACCCTTCAGTGTTACAGCTCTTTCAAGGATCATGTATATGGCTTTTTTTACTAAAAATATCCTATATATAACAAAATATATTTTTTTTTACTAAAAATATCCTATATGTAACAAAGATCTATTCAAATTTCCCTATTCTGAAAAGGTAGTGTGTATATATACAAGGTCCTGTCCATTTTACAATTAATATTTTGCCATTTTTTTTTACCATAAATCCAGCTGTAGTTAGAAAAATCCTTAACCAGGACAAAAGGCCTGTTTAATTGATAAGCGTAAGATTGCTTTCAAACTATTAGAATGATGAAAACAGAACAACACTCGGAAAGTTGGATGAACTATCACTGCAGTTGGACTTAGTGTGAAGTATCCTTGCAGCTGACATTTGCAGAGTTGAATTCTACCCTCTCAGCTCTTGAAACAGCAGCAGAAATTCCTTAACTGTCACTCATTAGCTGGTCTTAGCCAAAAGGCAATATGGTTAAAACCTTAACCCAGGTAAGCTATGTAAACTATGCCATAGATATCTCACACATAGTAAGAGAATCTCAGCAAACGTTTATTGACAGAGGGAAACACTTATACATATTAACTACCAAAATCTGTTTTGGCACCCAGGGCCATCAGCTGCCCTCTCTTCTAACATTTATGGTGCTAAGAACACCACAGTCTGAGGAGATCGAAGAGAAAACTGCATTGTCTCTAAGTACTGACAACTGAAACAAGCATGGGAAACTACAGTTAATAACATCCATGGTATCAAATCCTGCACCAGACTAACCAGTCCCATGGCAGACCACCAGAATCAGTGCCTGGAGTACTTACAAGATTTTTCTTCTTTTTTCCCCAACTGTTTCCCATTTCAGGTGTTACTGGATCTTTCCCTATAACTGCCTTTGGTACTATGTCCATTGAACTGCAGCAGGTTTTTATCACCTGTGTTCTTCACAGACACATTTTTTCTTACTAATCTGAGTTTGTGAGAGGTTTTCCCTTTCCTAGATATCAAAGATTTTAAAAATTAGGATTTTTTTTTTTTTAAGAAAATGAGAGAAAGGAAAAAACTCTTAGTCTCAGAGTAGGTGAATGAAGTATTTATTGATGGCATCACATATATATATTTATATATATAAAGATAGCACCTACCCATACAGAATGCTCTGATCAGGAGTCATCATTTTCTCTGAGGCTCAGAAATAATGCCATTTGCAAAGTCAGATATAATTACATTTTTAAAAAGAAATCTTTTATCTTAAATCTCTTTAAACTTTACGAAAATAACTTACTGCCCTGAAAATAAAATGACTGAAGATATATGGAGAATACATCACTGTATTTCAGTAGTATTCTTCTAAAATTCACTAAACACCAATCAAATCAGTTTTAACAGATAAGCAAAAAAATTTTCAATCTTCAGCAATATGTACATCTTCATGCTCATGTAGAAGCACTTATATGTTGGTATACATGTATGCTCATATGTATTTACATACACACAAGATTTCTACTAAAATCCAGAGTTAATGATTGTTTTAATAGCATCTTGTATACTTAATCTGTCCCCATTCCAAGATTTTAAAATATATTTCTAGTATTAACAAATGCATTTGTTACTCCAATTTGATACTACTTATGTAATTATATCCATTTAATACAGCACTGAATTTTGGAGGGCCTTACATCTTACAGATACTCTCATAAGAGTAAGTCTTTTCAGGCCCTCCACTGAAGTTTAACAGCCCAGAACATTGCAACTAGAATAATCTCCAAGAGCTTGTAAATGAAATTGAATAAATCAAGATGCTAGCTGTCCAAATAATATGAACTAAGCATCATTCAAAATTTTAAGTATGCACTGCAGAATAAACCTATAAATAACTTCCACACTCCTGGTCATGAATGTTAGCTTGTAATTATACCAATTATTCCTTCACATAAACTTTTGTCTGGTATTCAGAGTGAACAGGTCATGGTCCAACAAAGAATGACAGATATTTGGGGGTGTTTAAGTGTTAATAGCACAATCTGTAAATTCAGTCCGTTTAAAAATGTTAAAGAAATTGAGTTTACCGTGAGTGGGTGTTTTTTCTCTTCTCCGCACTCCTGCAGCTCTGCTTCTTTCATACTCAGGGCCCACGGGGTGACCTTCACCTTCAATTAAAGTGTAGTATTTCCCACTTTCATGCTCCAGAAAATAGCTTGGAGACTCAGAGCCTTTCATTCCAGACTTTCCAAATTTGCTGATGTCATCACAAGACATTATTCCAATTTCATCCCTAAAAAGAGTAAACCAGAAGATTACGGAGAAATTAACAATTTTATGATAAAGCTAAAGCATACAACTGTCTCTCCCAAATGCTACAAATCAAAAGTTCTGTAATTGAAATGCTATATGTGAGAACTTTCATAAAAGTGACTCACTTCAATAATGTAATTGTAAACTAACAAATCATTAGGTTCCACTTTAATTGTAATGCAAACTTAGTCAAAAGTTTTCTAGTATCTGAAAGGGAGCATAAGGAATTGGTATAACACAAGAAGTCAAGGATTTCCCTTGCAGAAATGCATGCTTTAAAATAAGATACAAGTGGTCACATAAAAGTAAATAAATCTTAATGATTAAAGAGTTTTTTAAATGCTTTCTTGGTTTAGGACTAAAATCAAGTTTTGCTCAGCTTGTATCTAGCCAAGTGAAAGCTCTCTCAAAACAAGAATATGCTGCTTAACATACTTCTAGCTCTTAATTTTACTAAATATTTAGTTTCATTGTGGGGCTTTTTGTTTGTCTATTTTTTATTAAGCTAGTGAAATGAAAGTGTAAAATTTTATTTTTCAAAACCTCACATTCATTAGGATGTAAATACCTGGGGCCATAAAGTCCTGACATAGGAGACAGAATGAAAACATCCTGGAGTGCAGAGTTCTCCATTTTTGAGGATATGCCCATTGTACTTGTTGGTGTCGTAGAACTGCTTGTTGGACTGGTTGGAATTACAGGCTGTAAAAAAAAAGCATGTGAAGAATAAATGAATATTTTCTGTGCTACAAGTAACAATAAAGCCAATGTGCATAAATTTAAGAATCTTGACCTCTTTTTTTGAATTACTGAAGTTTCTGTTAGAAAGATGTCTACTGAAACTCTGTTTTACTGAAGAGTTCAAGACTAGTTACAAAAGAAACTAATAAAAGACCAGTGAAATTAATTTAAAAGCCAACTCATGGGAAAATCTGAGACTTAGAATCAAAATATGATATTTTAACCACTGCAGAAAATCAATTATGTGGGGATGAAGGACATACACTATTAAATGTTATTAATACAAAAATTAATTACAGAACTCTGGAATACTTGTACTTAATGAAATTGTTCATAACCATAATGTTGTTTTCAGCGGATTCATTGTTAACAAGGACAGAACACCTAGATTTTTTCAAGGAAACAGAATTCATAGTCATCTAATGTTTCTTTTTTTTTTTACTGAATCCATAGGTGTGATGATTCTACCTTCAAATGTAGGTTCTATAATGATTAGTAATTAAATATAAGTTAACCTAAACAGTAAATGTGAGCATCATAAATATTAAAAGTATGAATAAAGTATGGGGGTCTTTGAGGAGATAGATGTTTTAATTTTTAAATGAAGTTAACCACGTGGTTTTTTTTCCTCAAATGCCATAGGGAAGCTCAAGTCAACAGCTATAAGGACTACAACCAAATATTCTGTGCAGGATACAAAGATATATACACAAAGAATATTTTTCAACCGAGGAACAGTCTGTGTTTATGTTCAAGAAATACAAAGTATTTTTATTTAGTATTATTGTTTAAAACTTTTTTATATGAAAAATTCCCATTCAAATACAAAATTAAATAGATACAACTAATTTTCTACAGGTGGAAGGAAAACACAGTGACCTGAAAATTGAATGAAAGCTACAAGGAAAAATGATAACATTTTTCTAAATACGAGGTTTTCTTTCTTCTAGAGAGAAACACTGAAATTATTTTTATGTAATTCAAAAAGTAAAAGCAATCCTAAATAGCAAAAAAAGATGTTTTTTCATGAGAATATTGGTCTGCATTGTGGCCCAAATGATACTACTCTTCTATGCTTATTGTTAAGCCTCTTACACTCCAATCAAATGTCTTATATTTTTTTAATATTATCAATATAAATAGATAAGAAGTGACTGCCAAAGACAAGACTCATTCACTAGTTACTTTCTCATATCTTTGGAAATTAGGACCTACTGCCTTCTACACAGTATCAGCCACTACATTTAAAATACTACCATTATTTCTGCAGTTTTGGTGTGGCAGTATTAGTAAAGAGACTAAATATCAGATATTCTAGTAATCCCATGATTTACCTGCAACTGGGTACGGGTTCCCAGGATTCAAAACATAAATTATCACTGTTACAGAAAGACAAGCAGAAACTCATTTCAGAATCAGAAAACAAATTCCCTGTACCAAGTCTCTCATGAATAATTGCTTTTCAATTGTTGTATACTCAGTGGTTGTCAAGGTTCCAGGTTAGTCAATGAAGTTGGCAATGGAGAAAGAGAATATGACTGTTCAATTTGCCCCCAAAGAAGGTGATACCCCTGCTATTCCTGATAGATTTAAAAAAATCTAACCTCATAGCAGTGGAATCTTTTCTGCTTTCCATACCAGAAAGTGAGAACTTTCCTTCTCACTTCTCTATAATTTTTTTCATTTCATTTTACATTCTGGATACTATGTTTCCTCTTATTTTTGGCTAGAAAACAAGAAAAATTCCCTAATTCTTCCACTATAGGGCTTGTTTTCTAAACCACTAATGAACTGTAGTGTGTGCTGTTCTTTCTCCAACTGATTAGACTACGTGTACCCAGTACCCAGCTGAGACTGTACTAACACTGAATAAAGCACAACAATTATTTCACTGATCTTGTGTTTTATATTCCTATTTATGTCTCTCAGTCAGGTATTTGAGTTTCTTCCAACATGACATTCAGCTTTTTCTTTACTGAAATTTCCACATTATTTGGAACTATTGCCATATTATTCAGTTGCTACATTCTTTAAAACTACAGTTGATTATTTCCAAGTAGAATACTTTACACTTGCCCCTCTTTAATTTCATTATATTTTTCCTCGTGTTTCAAACCATAATTTCCAAATTTTTAATTACCAACCCAGACTCCATTGCATTTGCAGACCTTCCTGGTTTAGCACTGCATGAAAATTTAGTAAGCAGAACCTTCAGGTTGTCGGGAAAGCATGGAATAAAGCCACACATATCACCTATCCATTGAATACTAAATGATACATCCTTTGTTAGTGAACCATTAACAGCTATTTATTAGGCAAGGTTATCCAATAATTTTCCACCCATTCAATCTCGATTGCACCTAGTCCTTAATTCTCTATGCCATACTTATGAGAATGTCATGAGAAAAGTTATTAATATCAGAGTAAGATATACAGCTTATCTCCTACCTACCAGGCCAGTTAACTGCTCACATAAGAGCATTAAATCTGTTTAATGATTTCTTCATAATAAATTAATGTTGTTTTTACTCACCCGTTATCTTCCAAGTGCTCACACAATGTTTGTGAATATTAAGTGTCTGACTTATAATTCCCTGGCTCTTGCATTTCCTTCTGAAGACAAGCATTATACTTCTGGTTTTTCTAACCTTACTGTAATTCATCCATCTTTCACAATTTTACAATAAATACATTTGAAAAATAATGGTCAAAGACTGCCCGCCCCCTCCCCCAAAATACCAGCTCTTCTTCTTGCCTTTTGGACTGGCATACGGTAAGAACTCACCCACTGAGTTTACAGAAATACATGCTCTCAAAGCTCACTTTCCCTATATAAGGGTTCTAAGTTTTTAAGAAAATACACTGCTTTGTGACTGCTCTCAGATAAGCTGTCTCGTGCCTTCTCCCTCTCAGCTTTATTTATGTTCTCCACCTTCTCTATGAGAAATACCTGTCTTCACAGTGCTTTTCAAGAATTTGCTGGCCATCATGTCTTTGGAATAATGCTTGTTTTGATCCCTTCCTCAGATGATGCACCCAATCCAAACAAACCATATTGGGCGATTCTGCTAGTTGCTCACAGGAAACCTTCACTCATCTGGCCTGGGAGTCTTTAATAAACTTTAATGAACTTTTTCCTCCTCTGTCATCATTCCAGCAAGTATAATTCTTCTATGATCTGGAGCTCAGAGTGAAGGTAGCAAAGACGTATACCTTCCCTCTGAGCTCCAGGTATGTCTGTGATATCAGACGTGGAATTTCAGTGCTTTTAGCTATCCGCAAAATAGCACAAGGATCTTCTAATAGTATTAAAACACTAGTTTAGTAAGAGTATTTATTATAATATTTCAATATTACACCAAATAAAAAAAGATAATTTTAATAAATAGTAAATATAATCTCAACCAGGACTATAAATCAAATGATGTAGTCAGGCCTTTAAGTCTTATATCTCAATTCCAGTAAAATTACTTGAAGTGATTATGCTGACTCTGTGTGTGTACAAATGAACATTTGATGAAGTGTGTGCAAATACATGCACAGATGAAAAAAAATCCCGAGGAAAAGGTATCTGTTTATAGAAGACTTCTGAAAAGTGACACTTTAGGTATCTGCTGTTGTTATTCCAAGTTTTTAATGAGAATAGCTAATTATCAGTAAAATGATTAAGCAATGCTGAAATACCAGAACAAAAATGGAAGACAAATGGTAAATTCAACACTCGTCAGAAATAAACAATTGGTTGCCAAACAGAAAAATTCAAACTATTTCAGAAACAAAGTAGACTGCTGGGATTCTGAGTGCATTTTGCAAATATTGGGGATAATTAAATATTTTATCTATTTTAAATGTGCTGTTCAAAACAACAAACATGACCCCAGTGCATCCAGCAAAAAACAGCAGGAGAAGATGCAGGGAGCTGGTAAAGCCCAGTGGTTCAGTAACAAGAGGCTTGAACATGGACATCCCTTACCTTTTGAGGGGGTATGAAGATTAAGGATGGGGTACTGAGTCTCTGCTTTCTCCCTTGAAGGAATAAACTCAATCCCCAGAATTGCCCTGATGGGTGAATTCACAGAAAACACACAGGCGTCACTCTTCTACATGGATTGCCTGCGGTAAGGGAAAATGGGGCTTTGTAACTGCGTATCACCCTATAAATTCCTATTGTGTGTACTTTTTGTCAGAATAGATTCATTCATGCCAGTCATACAGATGACTAATTGGACAAGCTGCTATTCAGAAAAATTAAATGTTCAATAATACAAATGCCACTCACAATAAGAAACAGAACTCTCAATATTGCTGAGTATTTCTCACATACTGGTAAATTGGTATAGCTGTGCTGTAAAGCAGCAGGTATGTTCTCAGTGTTTTCGGGTCTTGTGGGTATTTACTTTTTTGAAACTTGAAATATATACCGGTTTTGATGTGTAAATAATAATTTTTCCCCTCAGAGCAAGAGAATACTATGAAATACATGTGCATACAACAGAAGTCAATAAAAGTGTGAGTGGTAATAAGATGCAAAGAAAATGACTGATCACCATCTCCTCTTTTAAGAGGACAGAACATGACTTACTTCTTTGCTGCATTTTCTTTGTCTGAGATGTTAAGAGTCTTTCCTTGCCCAAGAATTTCTCACTCATAGTGAAGTAAATAGGCAGCACATAATTTCAGGGTTCATCTGAGCGATTCTATCAGGGTACGGTACCCAAACTATGAACTAGCAACTAACCAACTTGAGTGGTACACAAGAAGTGGTGTGCACCAACTTATTTTCCTTTTTTCACTCTACAAGCACCTGTTCTCATAATGCTATGGAATTTCTCTTTTGTACAAAGCAACACCTTTCCAAATTCATATGGTTTTCAAAATCTGAAGTGAGTTACTTAGCTAGAATTATTCTGAAGGTACTTATAAAACTGCAAAGCCTAATGTGTATTTTCTAATATGTAAGAATTATAAAATTGTTACTGTTGACAGAAGCTTTACTGCTCATGTCACCTGACAGATTCTATCTCTCAAGCTAAATAGTAAAATGTTTAATGTCCTGGATCAAGTAGTTGTAACAGGAAGGATTATTCCAATTAGAAAATTTCTGCAAATAAAAAAAAAATAAAATACAATGAATATTGTCTTTTATTTGAATGAAGTTGCCGGTGTGCTCACTTTTCTAAAAAAACAGAGCACTGTTTGCCATTGCAGATAAAAGAACCATTTTATACTGAATGGGAAGATAATCACAGAGTTTAAAAATGAAAATAGTCTTCTAATATCACATAATGCCAACTAGAGACAAAATGAGAAAATGGTATGACTGACATGTTGTCTCACTGAAAGAGAATTGTAGCACGAAACTTTGGCATATGTTAACATTCTGCTGCTGTTAATTAAGCATCAAGGGAAAATATATACAGCAAGGAAATACTACAATGAGACCAAGAAATAAATTTTATAAGGATTCACAGATTCTGTATACTTAATAATTCATAAATTAACCATGTGGTATAATTTTAAACATAATTATTGTGAAAAAAATTATGAATAACACTGGTAAGTACCTTGAGCAATAGCGGAACACTTGATTAACTTTTATTTTAAAAATTCCTGCCATGCACCAAACTGATTTAACACTTATTATTTCTAGCCTCTGAATTTCAAGTTTGTAAATCCTGCTTCCTTTGTTCCTTCCCTAACTATGTACAGCTTTTGTTTTGTTTTTACCAACACTAAATCAGAATGGATGAAATGGCTCTGCATGTGTTATCCGTCATGGTATGTTACATACATGGATACATATCTGGATCCATATAATGTAACACACCATGAAATATAACACATCCATATATTATCGGTTATATCCTTTTTCTTGTGACAGTCTGACATTTACTGAATTGTTTTCACTTCTGATCTACTTTAACTGAGATCATTTTCTACAGGTTGTTGCTTAACTGGTCATTCCATATCCTACGTTCATGTAGCTGGTTACTTTTGTCTGAGTATAAAACCCTCTGTCTATGCTGAATGTATTCTGCTTATTTCTGAAAGTCTGTCAATAGCCTCTGACAGCCTTTGTCCTGTAAGAGCCAATTTAATCCATTAGTGGTAGAAAACTCCAGAAAAACAAATAAATAAAACAAGAAGCCTTCCTACCAATTCAACAAATTAAACTGATCTAGAGAGTCTAAAAAATGGCAAAGTCAAACAAAGGCAAGGACATTCTGCAGCCAAGAACAGGGAGAGGGAAGTGAGATCACTGCTTTCTAGTCCAGCAGCATCAAGCTGTTATGTCAGCTGTCCAGGAAACACAAGCTTTAGTATCATCTTGAAATTTAATCATGCTAGTTCCAAGTCATTAATGACAATAATAAATAATACTAGATCCAGGTGAGAGCTGTAGGAAACAGGCAAAACAAAACCTGTGTCCTAAAATGTATCCAGGTCCTAATACTTGAGCTTGCCTCTGTGGCATGAATACTAACGACGACCTAAAAATGCTAAAGACGACCTAAAGTTGGTTTTCAACGTCTTTTTTATTTTCTAAAGTGATTCATGTTTTTACTTAAATCCCTCACAACACTGTTCTCTAACACAAGAAACATATCCTGTGAGGATGACACTTAAAGCACTGTTTGAGCCTCGGGGGCTCTCGCGTTCTGGGTCATCAGGAGAGGACACATCACAAAAATAGAAACAGTTGATAATTCCACAAAAATATCCTGGTGCACTTTCACTTATCTGGCTACCATGACAAATGTTGGCATGTTTTGTGGAAAATACCGTGCCATGTATACAGTACATATTGTTTTCACACTGACAAGACTTCCAGAACTAGTGCTGCTTGGAAATTATGATTCTTGAATGTACTAATATAAAGAGAGGATTTCTATAGAAGCCCTGTTGCAAATGCATTTCCATTTTGCTGCCCCTGGAGGCTTCAGATGAGGTTCACAAGTAGATACATAAACGTCTTGCTAGCGCAAAGAATGTGTCCTATTCCTGCACCCTTATGGCAGAAAAATCTGAAGAGTTCTGAATCTCCTCTGGGTGTCATGATGCCCCTTTCCTCTCCCCCAGAGGTAAACCCAAGTGTCAGCACTCCTGAGCTGCAAGGATTACACAAACTCCTTCAGTGAAGCAGCTGTGTAGGATTTAGGGACTGAGAGACTCAGAAAGTCCCAGGCAGGAAGGATATTTGCCTGGTTAGGCTTGAAGGGTTTGCTTTGTTTTGTTAACTTAAAAATTATTCAGAAACAAATTGATGTATCATGTGGTCCAAACAAAACCACGCTGTGAGGCTTGCACATTATGAAAGTTATTACAGGATATTACAGAGTATTGAAGATAAACACGCATAGTTACTAATTTACTCAAAAAACTTTCCCTTAATAATGACATTTTACATTCAGTATTTTTACAGAATCAGTTTCTCCTACATATGTTGATGCTGTAGGAAGAACCAGCTGTGATGTTCACAAATTATTTTTTTTATATCAACGGGTTTTCAAGGAGTAAATATGCAGAAAATATCAGAGGTTCTATTAACATTGCGACCTAAAACTCAAACTTGATGAGAGATGTGGAACAGAAGCAGACTTTTCCTGAAATTTAAAAGGTCTGACACGCTTGATTAGAAACAAGTAGTTTTGACAGACTGTGAAATAAGGAAACAGGGAGGCAGTGTTGCCTCTGCCAGTCAAACCAAGCTACTGAACCTTAGGCTGCCTTGTTCTTCACCATCTGTAAGTGTTCTTGCCTTTTATGAGTTCCTGTGGCTCCCAACTTCACCAAAAAAGATGGAGGAAAACAATCTCATTGCCACACACAGTACTGCCACACATACTTATGGCAGCACCTTATTTCAGAGGAATTTGGGACGTTTTAGAGGCTCCTGTGTCTTTCACCGCAAAGAGAAATTCTAGTGTTTTCTCTTGAAGTAAAGGATTTACCAAAGCACCAGCACAGCAACAGTGTCCTTACCTGAAGTGCAAGAGGCTTCCACCTCACATTCTTCAGAAGGGCAGGAGCAGAAACCAGGGTATTCTGCGGACGTTTTTTCAAGGTTAAAATCACTCCGTTTGGGTCTTCCCGCAATGCATTTACTAGGTTCTTTAACTGCCAGCCAACCTAAGGAAAAATTCCATAATTGAATTTTTAAAGCTTTCAGTTTAACTTTAAATGCGAAGGAAGTCTGCCATTAATCGAAAAGGTCTATGACAGCCTCCTCTTTGCAAACATAAGCAGTTTTTATAAACTCTGATTACTTTTATTGGACTGAAGTGATGCTGCTGAAGCTGGATTATTATTTAGCTGTTTCTCAACAAAATAAGTTGAACACTGTTTCCCTTTTAATAATTTTAAGATCACTGCGTATTTTAAATCAAATGATGAGGACTAGAAGTCATGAAATAATTTCAGTCTGGATCCTGAAACAGGCACTGCTGAGGAGGAAGGCAGACTATGCTGTAGCAACATACGTAACATACATGTAACAGCTTTAAGATCCTAACTGAAGATAAACGTTTATTTACTTGATTTATCTATACAGACGCTGGATAGAGCTGAGTAATTCAAGTTCTAACAAACTGTAAACACAGCCATAAAAAAGAACATCACTAGGAATGAAAGGATTTCATATGTGCAGCTCACAAAAAGCTACTTAGAGACATTTCTTAATCTTCTTGATTATTGAAACATGAATTTAGCGTGAACTGTTTATACACGAAAACAGAAAATGTATTTTTATGGGACTTTTAAAAAAAAAATTAATGCTTACACTATCTATTATCCTGAATGGTTGAAGAGGTTTTAAAACTGAATAATAATATAAATGACAGTATATAAAGATGTTTATGATAAAAGTAGTTTCTTGCACATTTAAGTGCTGCTGAATTTCTATCCATATTTCCACCCACAGGCACATGAGAAAAAAAAAAAAATTTAAAAGGGCATCAAAAATGTCAGATGTGTAAAATCAGAAATGAAAGTGAAATTCATAAAAATTCACATATTTCTAAACCTCAATCAATTTTTTTCCCAATTTACACCACTGAAATCAGTGGAATTGTACTAGTATAAATAGAGAATAAATTTGGCTCCATTCAGCAGTCCTTCTGCCCTTCCTGTGTGCAACTGATGTATTAGCTTGTTCACTATGAATAAAAGAAGAAATTCCTACCACTTAGCACTTCACAGTGAATTACCATTAGTTGCTTTGCCCTATTTCCTGAGTAACGTTATTATTAAAGAAGTTTCTTTAACATTACTGTCTCAAAAAATGTATCCTCTGTAACTCAAATTAGTACTGATAGACAGGAAAGTACCACAATGCTTCTAGGATTTGCTAAGATTCACTTCTAAAGATTGTATTTTTTTGTCAAGATGTACTTGTGACCCGATCTGGATAATCAGACTCACACCACAAATTTTGACATTTGTCTCTCTTCCACTAGTGTCAGAAAAACTAAGCAGACACTTAGTTACTCACACCCAACCTTAGCCCCGGGTCTCAAGGGCTAAGCCACTGCCTCCATTTAGTCTCAGCTTGTTATTTTCAGGAAGTATACCAAGGATCTTGCTGAAGTCACTCAAATGACAAGAACATGCCTACCTAGAAAGGAAATACTGGAAAGAGTGTCACTGGTAGGTGACAGATTACTGGTTGCTATCCAGCTCTGGGAAGCAGCAAGGCACACGCGGGTAGTTATAGGGAGGGCTGTGGAGGATTTTCCAAGCCTTATTTAATTCTTCTCCTATTCACACATGAGTTCTAGATTTGCCACTCAAGGAAGGTTTATAGGTGCAGGGGAGACTTACCCTTTTAAATACTGCATCCTTACTTAAGTACTACTTAAGTGAGTCAGATTTTAATTTGAATACTGATTTTTAGTTCCTACCCCCAGTTCTGCTAAACAAAGCAGTACGGATCCAATCCTGTACAGAATAATTTTTTGCAAAAGACGATTTCTTTCACAGAAAGGCTGAGCCCCCAGCACCTCTACAAGTGCCTGTATTAAACTATTCCCTTCATTTTCTGTTCCAAACATGGAAGATTTTTACGGTAGTAATAAATGACCATAGTAAAGATCTGTCATAAACGTTATAACTACCACAAGTCTTAAGCCCTCGTGTCAAGCTGATCTGTCCTGAAAAGGAATTAGAATGCTGTGTCCGTACAGCAGTTCTCCCAACACAACCTTACTGAGGCCACACTGCAGCAGCCTTAAACGTGAACATTTAAGAATGAAAAGCTTAGGGAATACAAGAGCAGGAACTGTACAAGTATGTGCAAGCATTAAGTGCTGTTGTATTTGCTATGCTTTTTTACTACATTTGACCTGTCAGAGTTCATTATAACATTTTAATCATAATTGCCCTTCTGACTAAAGTGTGGGCTCCCACTGCTAATAAAAAACAAGAATTAAAAAAAAAAAAAAAATTAGGTGCTCAAAATCAGAGCAGTCTACATATATCACCACATTATATCAGGTATAGTTTACTTCCTTTTAGAGGATGATAATATCTGATTACACATGACGGTGGAGGGAAAATAATAAAGGCATCCTTGAAGAGATTTTAATTAAAATCCTCTTAGAAAGGCTGAAGAGAAGTTAGGATATAAACTGCAAGATTCTAGACTGTCTCCACAGTGGGCCAAAGCCAGAATCCCAAGCGTGAACATTTGGCTTGGAAAGCACTGCAACATGTGTTGTTAATCTAAAAAAGGATTTTAATAGCTTTTTAAAGTTCTATTCTATTTTTAATGTTGCTGTTCTATTGAAAACTTTCTAAAAATGCACCGGCCACAGGAAAGCAGAAAATGGTAGCAATTATAAACAGGCCACAGCCAAACAAATGCAAATATGTCAGCTTGCATTCCAAATGAGCTCTTCTAGTTTGTGCTTTGTTTATAAAATGACAGAGTCTATATATTTTTTTACTCAATTACAGAATTAAAAATGAACTATTTTTTGATTTTTATAGATTGGTGTAATTTTCAGAATGCTGAAATCTTTAGAGTTCCATGAGCTCCTTTTAGAAAAGTATGATAAATAATTAAGTTAGTGATAAATTATTCCAAGGAGAACTTTAATGACAAAACCATTAAATACCAAGATCTATTAGAGAACAGTCTGCAGTCATTACTACTAGGCGATGATAAAATGCTCTTAGGAATTTGGACACATTATTAGAAATTGTGTTACTAAAAATATCTTTGAAAAAATAGAAGTCATTACAGTGGATTAAAAAAAAAATCTTAGTTAAAAACCAGTCCTTGAGACAGATTTTGACATTTATTCTTAAAGAATCAGTCTTTAATAGCAATTACTAGCTTCTAGCTATGGTAAGATGTATCCAGCAAGCAAAAGGTATTTTGCTCTTTTAACATTTTTAGCATATACATTCAGTTAATCAGATTATATTATATGGGTTATAATATTTTACCCAGTAATGAAAGTTAACATTAAAATTAGGCTCATGACGGTAAAAAAAAAAAGACTAAAGACTTAAATTTAGATGCTAAATAGGGAAGAAACCTAGAAGAATGCAAAACAACTCACTGAAAACAGCAAGAGGCAGGCAGAAGTTTAAGATTTTGGTGGTTTACACTTAGGATTGCTCTAAATAATAATTTTTATTGGTTTGTATACTCTCAGTGTGGAAAGAAGGGCTCCAGGGAAAAAATTCTGTACTACTGTCTATGTTAAAGGATTCGTTAGTTTTCTCATAGGAAGTGCAAGCCTGAGAATTAGTGGAAACTGCAAAATATAACAACTTTAAAAATAACAGTTCCAAAAATATTAATCTCTAGAATATGAAATTGCTTTACCATAAAAGTATAAATATAAATATCCACAGTGCTGTAGTGATTTTGTATACCTAAACCCAATAATGTTGTAGCTGGGACTGTTTAACTATTTTCTTCAGAAAAACATAACTCACTTCCATTAACTAACAGTCAACTAGTGTGTTTCCTAGTTCTTTAGAGCCTCCCCTATATGGATTTTTTTCCTTCTCGTTTAGAAGATGTAGATTTGTTTGAATGAGATTTGGAATGCGTATTACCAGCAATAGGGATTTTGGCATTTGGCATACATAAATCATGCTGGACAAGCACCTTTTCTAATTTTTTAAAAATAAAGGCTACTGAGCCAGTGATAACTCACTGATTATCTGTATGAAAAACAAACTGATACAAAAAATCCTTAACGTTACAGACACACAGACAGACAGACTGAAGAAAACACAAACCAGTGCATTTGTGGATAACTGCACAGGCATTAAGTGCATGAGATATTCGTCTGTTAAAGGGAACTGAAAAACAGCTCAACTGTTGAACATGATGGTGCTTATCAAAGGATTCCAGTAGTCAAAACCACCACAGCAGTTATTCACCTCCATGCCAATTTCTTCAAAACACATGATACGTATTTGTTATGGTACAAATTTAGAAGACACAGCTCAGTGGGAGTGTCTAGTGGGTAGAATACCTATATTCCTTTCTCTGCTTTCCCTGAAAATTCTGGGGACAAAGCAGAAGCGTGGTTCCTCAGTTCCTTCACTGCCTTATCAAACCCTAAACATCTATCAGGACTCTGAAGTATTAAAAAGTTCTAAGAAATGCAAAAAATATAGAGTGCACCTCACAGAAGGAAGGGAGGTTGCACCTTAGGTTTTTTGTGACACTTGTGTATATTTTACACAGCCTTAATATTACCTAGGATGGAGAGACACAGCGCATTAACTAAACAAGAATTTAAGAACTACCTTGGTAGGTATTTGATCTGAAAATCAACCGTACGCAATATTTTCGAAATATTTAGAACATACTATATTGCACACCACCTGAAAACAAGTAATTCTGCTTTGACTGCAGTAACCCTTACATGAACCAGGACAGATGTTTCCCCTCAAGGCTCTTCAAATACATAAGCAAAGCCATCTGGATACTTATTTGAACCTCAAGAGTATGACCTCTTTTCATATTTGTAATAAAAAAAAAAAAAAAAAAAAAAAAAAAAAAAGAGGCTTGTGTAAATTCAACTTTTTGTTAAGGAAACAGACTATCTTCCTTTCGTATTTTAAGTCTATAATTCACTTTGCCTCCTTAGGGAATTAATCAAGGG